TCTTTGAAAATCCATGACGTCCATTTTTGAATGTCTTCCTTTGTGTTTGAAGGGATTGCTGGATTTGTATGAGGCGTCATTGGACGAGCGGTGGATGGAGTGGGCGTACAAGTTGCAAGAAGTGATGGACAAGCTTTTTTGGGACGCCGCTTTAGGCGGCTACTTTGAATCTCGCGAAGGGGACCCGAATATCCTCATTAGGCTCAAAGAAGGTATAATATTTTTTCATGTCCACGCTTTCTTGCTGGTCGTGCCAATTCTTTTTTGACGTTGGACGTAAACTAAGTGTACTGAATATGATTCGTTTTTGCATAATCTGGAATAAATGCACGTGCTGAACGATGAATTAATCTACCGTATTTACGCAAAGATGAGCACCCGGAATATTTATTATGGTTTATGGGATTGATTTCGAGTTTGGCATTTAAAAAAAATTGACAGATCAGGACGGAGGGGAGCCGACTGCGAACTCGGTGGCTGTGAAGAACCTGTTGCGGTTGCACGCCTCTCTGGGCGAGGCGGCCATGCTCACGCGGGCCTTGCGAATATTCGACGCCTACAAGCCTCGACTGCGCCACATGCCCATGGCCCTGCCCCAAATGTTCACGGCTCTCATCATGAGCCAGGTTGGGATGCGTCAGGTGGTTGTTCAAGGCCCGCGCGGGTCGCCGGCGACCAACGCACTCATCGGCGCCGTTTTCTCCGCCTCGGCCCCGAATAAGGCCCTCGTTTTCATTGACAACAAGACCGGGTCGTCGGGATTTATTGCGAAAAAGCTTGGCCTGAGTGTCGGTGGTCCGGCGACGACCAACGGCGGCGGTGGCGGGAATGAGGACGCCGTTGCGAGGGCGCACGTGTGCGTGGATCAAGCGTGCTCAGCGCCGACTTCGGACCCTGACGAGCTCCTGAAGCAACTCTCTGCTCGAAACATCTGAGGAGAATGATTTTTAATCATTGAAAAAAAAAGAGAGAGGAAAATTTCGCGGGAGAGAGAAAAAGAATTGAGTGTTTTTTTTTCTCTCTCTTCCGCATTGTTGGTTTCAACTTTCGGCTGGATGTTCTCATTACTTTTTAAAGTCATTGTCTTCTTTCTTGTTCTTGTCGTTGTTGGCGGACGGACGGACGAAGGGATGGACGTGAAGGATTGTTTTTTTTTTTCATTTGGTGGATGCCAAGGTTTGTGTTCGGCGTTGGTTGGCGACAAGCAAACAGGGTGATGGCGTGTCGTTATATTTTTATTTTTTCGTTGTTCGTTTGTTTGTCCCCTGATGTTCCTTGTCTGTAACTTGGACCTGGTTCCTTTTATCGGCCGCGTGGAAAATCATTTTTCATTCGTTTCGGCTGCTCCATTGAACGCAGGTGGCGATTTTGGCCAAATTCAGATGAAAAGAAACCCGTGCTGACCTTCTTCGCCGTGAATATTTGAACAAAGTGTAATGCTGACAAGGTATGGTTGCTCGTTTAGGAAACTTGGTGATTTTTGTATTTTTGCTTGATTCAAATGTCGAGATGAGCAGATTTTATTTTTACATAACTGAGCCTGGAATTACAGTACGGTAAGAGGTGTAAATGATGATGATCGCATTTGCTCAAACTGAGACAGTCACGAGGTTAATTGGAAGGAAAAATTCAGCCCGATGAAACCTACGTCTTGCATGCGAAGCGAGACAATTTTTAATCATGAATATCCGTTTCATACCTTGTCCATGACAATGATAGGTCGTGTTGGTGTGGGTGGGTGTCGCTCGCAGTCAAAAGTTCAATGCCGAATTGTTTTATGGTGTGGGTAGATGTCGCTGTCAGTCACGTTATATTAAATCCGTCGTCGGATGTTCGAGTTCTTAATTATGAAGTGCCATGTGCTCTTTATCAGTTTTTTTGTTTGGTTTTTCTGTGTCATTCTATAAAATTGCGACGCAAACGTTTTGATTGTTCTAAAATGAAACGATTTTCAGATTCCTTGAGCCCCAATGGGAACCGTATATGTTAGTACGTGTAAAATGCTAGGTGATCTGTCGTTTGAGACCCAGAACTGGCCTCTGTGTGAATTTGCATTTTAGTTCCAGTTGTTTTTTTTTCTTTTCCTGGGGTTTCGTCTGAATTTTGACGAAGTTTTTCTCTGTGTTCCATGCTTCAGCCATTTCTCGGTTTTGTTCTGCTCATTCCCTGTGAGCAGCTGTTTTTTTTTTGTGTCGAGGATCGGAAGAATTAAATTGGATTCGATGGTTATTTCCTTTACGTTTCCCGCTCAATTTTCTGGAGGAATTCGTTGAAAAATTGTGATATTCACCGATGTTCGTTTTTTGTAGAAAAATTTTATTTACGAAGCGCCTTCACTCTTTACCTAAACCTTCGCAACTCTCGAGCCAACCTCCAACTGCCGGTTCTCGTAGAAGACGTGAAAACCTGAAGTAACTTGCTACTGCGCTTCGTCCTCAACTAACTGCTAATCGAATCGTATGTATTTTTAATTTTTGTTGTTGTCGAACATTTATATAATATTGGTGCTTTTTTCTTGATGAACGTACCTGTTATTTTTATGCTTCTATATTAAATTGGTTTTGTGTGTACATTTTTTAGTTACTGTATTTACTCAGCGTCACGCGCCATCGAGTAAGAATATTGGGTAAGAATTTATGAAGTATTTCATACCAGCATAACCTTAGTTCTCAGTTACCAAAATTCCTTTCTGAAAAGCTATCTTGACCAAAAATCAATTTTCAAGTCAACTTGATATTTTTGTTTCGTACAAATAGTAGAGAAGTCTGACATTTTTTTTTTCAAATTTTGGAGAATAGTTCCGAATCTTAAAGAAATGTCACTGTAAAATTTTTTTTTGACTGTGAAACGCTCCTCGTTTTCACCTCCTTTGTTTTGTAAGAAGTGTGAATGTGAACTCGGGTGAAAGCGGAACTTGATTTTAAAATAGGCTGAATACGGTGAGCCCTTTTCCGGTTCTTCAACGTGAGAAAGGACGATTTTGTTTCCAATCAATAGTTTGATCGTTTCCCTGGTATTTTCTTTTTTCTTCAATGCATTGAATGATTGATTATTCAAATATGGGAGAAGATGTTGAGTTTATTTTCTCGTGTGATTGTTTTTTATTTTAGGATTGATGTTACACGCATGGTGTTGAAGTTTCGAGATACAATGGAATTGGTGAAAGGCAACTTGGACGTTTGTTTGGATGAAATCATGAAACCACCGCCGCCAAAGATAATTTCCTCTTCGTCGGATAGCTCTCAAGAGACGTTGGAGAAATATAGAAAAACTGGTGAGTGTAATGTTCAATGGTCGCTTGGAAATCTGCAGTTTTCTTGTGGGTCGACTGAATGCATATTTTGATCGCACGGGGGTTTTTTTTTTTCCTTTCACTGGGCCATCTGACTTTTTAGAAATTTTGAACAGAAATCGCTTAAATTGCGGAGCTGCCCAAAAATATAACCTCAGATCCTAGCGAAACTTCACAATTGTCAAATCGGATATTACGAGATTCAGGCGACGCCTGTGCGAAAGCGATTGAAATGTGGGTTCTATGACGTTTGAAGTTCACATTTTTGACTGTTTTCATGACTGTATTTGGGGACACCTGGATGCTTGAGGAGATAAGATATAAAATTAAAAAAAAAATTATGTTCACTTTAACATGAAAACTTTGGCATAATGTATGTCGAAAAAGAAAACCGATTCATTCCAGCCATATGTTCAAGCTTAACAAATGTTTTTCTTAGATTATTGCTCCTGTTCCTGGAAATAAGTTTTCAAATGGCCACTCATCAGTCGTTTCCGTGAAATTCAGTTTCATTTTATTTTGAATTACGTACATGTCCTTTTTTTGCCATGAAATATTTTTCAACGAGCTGACTGGAAATTGTTTTTTTGTTTGCTTTGATTCAAACAGCTTTAGAAGCTATCGCCAAAGGAAAATTGGCAGTGATTTTGCTAGCTGGAGGACAAGGCACTCGACTCGGGGTTCCCTATCCGAAAGGCATGTTCAGCGTTGGACTGCCTTCCAAGAAAACTTTGTATCAAATCCAAGCTGAAAGGATCAAACGGCTTCAATTCCTGGCCGAGGAACTGACCGGTGTCAAGGTGCGATTTTCTCTGAAAATTGTACAATTTCGTGCTTATTCTTCATTTGAAGGTGCCGAGACAATTTTTGGTGGTTCCTTCGATTGCTATGTATAATTTCAATTAACTAATTATAGATGAATAAATTTCAATGCCATAATTATTCAAATAATGCCACCCAATTAATGCAATGTGTAATTTACCCCCATTAAGGGCAGTTATCTGAGGAAAAATAATTTTCAAGCCATCTTTCTCAGGTGCGCGTTATGTTCCAAATGACGTTTAAAATGCTGAAGAATGACTTGAAAATTATCCTGGGCATGAGGCATGTACTTCTCAGTAATACCCAAGTGATATCCTCCGAAAATGCCTTAATTTCTTTTGATTTGGGCCCATTTTTCATTCAATAGGATATTTGTTTATGGCACTAAGTGAGTCTGAACTCAATCGGGGTTTCCCTTGAAAACACAGTAGAGGGAGATTTGTTCCAACACAATTTGTGGCACAATGCGAGGGTGGCATTAAATCGAGGGTTTGACCGTATATTGTTCTTGTGTGTACACTTGCATTTTTCAAGAATTTTTTTTTGATACTCTGACGAAAGGAGCGGATGTTGACGTTGGGAAAATGGGAATCGCGTTGATTCAAATGCGTCATTTCCTTGCGATGTACGCATTACAGGCATAATTTAATTTTTTTTATATTACCCGCACGCGTTTTCTATCAACCGTAATTGATTTGAATGCGTCATTTCTTTGTGATTTCCGCAATTCAGGCGTTCAATTTGGCTTTTTTTTTATATTACCGCACTTCCGGTACCTAATGCTTACATGGGGAACTGGGAATCTGATTCGAATGCATCATTTCCTCGCGATTTTCGAATTTCGGGCATTCAATTTGATTTCTTTCCGTTATCGT